AATATGAAGCATCCGTAAAAGTAGATACACCTTTCAGCAGCGCTATTGGTTGCCGGACATGCCAATCCAGGATTTCTGTCTGATTGGCCAGAGCTTCAAATTGGCGCCAGCAAGCTCAGAGAGGCCTCCAAAAGGGGTAACAATATAGATGAATATGAACGGATTGACAAATAAAACCGAGGAAATATTCGTCAAGCCATATTCATCCTGATTTAAAATTTTACAAATACGGATCGACGAATATATGACAAATCGGCTATATTCATCAGAAAAACTGATGCGTTTTTATATTTGTCCCCTTCTCTAATGGTGAGTATCCTTGGTAATGTAGGAGTGGTGTAATCCTTATTAATGAAAGTAATGTATGCTTAGTAATGCAAGAGTAATGTAATGTAATCCTTATTAATGTAAGTAATGTATGCTTAGTAATGCAAGTGTAATGTAATGTAATCCTTATTAATGTAGGTAATGTATCCTTAGTAATGTAAGTAATTTAAGAGGTGAATATTTGCATTCTTCCAGGTATTTTCATTTGTTTATGAGGGCAAACCGTTAAGTTTCCCCTCCTATCACAAACTTATTAAGGGGGGGGGGAGTAGTGTGGTATCTGCCCAGGTCATGAATATTAATATGCTATCTCCACGGATCAATGAGAGTGCTGGAATGGCAGAGTCACGAGATATAAGAGTCCCTGCAGGGGGGCGAGAGAGAGATTGGAGATGGGAGATTAGAGGATTAGGAATTTGGGATTTTGGAGTAGAGACAGGGTTGGCGGTTGAGAGTGTATGGAGAAGGAAGTTTTGTTAAGAGTTAACGACATTGATTATACCTTCATCACTTGTAATAATAAACAATTTCTATTTGGTTCTTTTCAAAATGACACATTGCCTGGATCTCTGTGAAACGTTATGGCCGGCTACATGGTGGAACCAATTTATTTCCTATCTTGTCTCCTGAGGAAGTGCAGTCCCTTATTATATATTTTTTTTTAGAGTAAAAAATATATAAAGCTCCTAACCCATGTGACCAGGAATTTATGTAACAATCCAACAGGGATATAAGTAGGGATCATTTTCCTTGTGTGATCAGGGCCTCAGCTACTTCCAAGTTATCCCATGGTCTCATTTCAGCCACTTCATTGAAACGAAACAAACAAACAAAAAAAATCCTGCAGCTATTGTTTGAAACATTTGCCAATCTAAAGCAAAATACCTGTAGACCTACCAGTAAATGTTTCCGCTCACCTTTTGCAAGTCACTCCATATTATTTGTATTGTGCCATCTGCATATATGACAATTTGGTACTACAGTAGTATTAATGCAGAATATTAGAAGGTATCCCCTTCTCACGGGGTTTGCAATCTGAAATTCAATACATGGGAATTTTTAAAAAAGAGGAAAGGAATAGCATGTACTTTTCTAGGATTTGTGTACTTTGGCTTCATAGTAGGTTGAACACCTGCAATCTGGCCTGCTTTAAAACTACAGTGTTCATAAGAAAATGGTGCCTGAACTAGAAAACTGCATTAGAAAACTCCTCCAAACTACTAGTCCATATAGTTCAGTATTATGACTCTCTACAGGGTGGTCTCTACATGGGCCACATGTGACCTAAGAAGCCCTTTTTTGCAGCCTTGCTGGTTCCTCCAAAATATTTCTGAACTTATTTGCAATTGGCAGTGCCAACGTTTAAAAGTAAACCACTAGAGCAAGCAGGCATTCCCAGTATGGTGTAGAGAACAAAGTGATGGACTGGGACTTTGGAGATCAGGGTTCAAATCCCTGCTCAGCCATGGAAACTCACTGGGGAAGTAGAACTGGTAAAACTACTCCTTAAACATTGTACAGTACTTATCTCGAGAGCCCTATTAGGGATTAGTATAGCTATTTTATGGATTCAACTCGACAGCACAAAACATACAATACAGAGCAAGCAGAAAGAGGATTTTTTGGTGTGTGGTTTGCTACTGAAATTTGGTGGCAATGCGGAATACAGTGGTGCCCTGCTTAGCGATGTTATTTCGTTCATACAGTGGTGCCTTGCTTAGCGATGTTATTTCGTTCAAAAAAAAGCTGCTAAGCGATTTCACCGCTAAGTGAAACGCGGTTTCCCATTGAAATGCATTGAAAACCGGACAATCCGTTCCAATAGGAAAAAATTACCATCCTTAAGCGAAAATCGCCATAGGAAACATCGCTAAGCGAAACATGGTTCCCCAATTGAAATGCATTGAAACCTATTCAATGCATCTCAATGGGGGGAAAATACAACAACAAATTAAGAGTCAGAAAAAAGTCAAATTTGGTTAACAAAGGGTTTATTAAGTGCACTTTATGATTTCAAACATTTTAAACAGTAAACTTTAACTTTATAAATAACAGAAAAACATTTAAAAAACAGCAAACATGAGGCTGTTTAAACCATCGTTAAGCAAAACAGGGGACCCAAAATTTAATCGCTATGCGAAGCATGGTCCCAACCATTGCTAAGCGAAAATTGCCCATAGGGACCATCGCTAAATGAAGTGTTAAAATGCTCAAAAAAGTCATTGCCAAGCGATTCCATCGCTAAACGGAGCGCCCGTTAAGCCAGGCACCACTGTACCTCTTTTTAAAGCAAAAATTTCCTTCTCATTTTAATGCCTTTGCCCAAGCTTATCTCGAAATTATGCTGTGGGAGTTGCCACCAAACTTTACAGGTGCAACAGGCTGCATGGTGATTGGCAACCGACCCCCCCCAGGGGTGCAAAACTTGCATCTGGAACCACCCAACTGCTCACCCTTGCCCTCCAACGATTCCCAGCAGTTCTCCATGGTTACAGATATATATATTTTTTTCCTGGAGATTTTCCAAGTCCTACCTGTGGGCGCCCCATGCCAGGGACTGAAACGGGGGCTTTTTGCACGCTAGCAAGTTTTGTAGGCATAGGGAACATGGTTTTAAGAAAAAAGAGAGCGAAGGGCAGCGTCTTCCAGAAGGGAGGGTCCGTCTGCTCCTGCTCCCTTGCACGTTCAGGTCTTACTGACCCCGCAGAGCCGCACTCGGAATCAACAACACGCTCCGCATCGCACTGGGCACGACCAGAAACTGCTCGAAAGCAGCACGTGGATCGGAGCGCATCTACTGGGAAGTAAATCTCGGCGTGTCCGATGGCGCTTGGCTCCCAAGGAGCAACGCAGAGCCACTCCATTCGCC